CAATCAAGAATATGGTTTTAATAAAATGAAACTACGGATACAGAATTCTACATTTAAACCTGGGATACATGTATGTACAGTAAACAGTAAAACTAACGAGACAAATGAATAACAACGGGAGTGAGAGAGAGAGATTGAGGCCCTGTCCACACGGACACGGGTATTTTTATAACCGTGACTTTTTTTACGCGGTTCGGGCGTTCGTCCACACGAAAACGCACTGAAACCGAACATTTTTGAAAACCCCTGCCAGGGTGAGGATTTTCAGAAACGCCGGTTACAGTGTTGTCGTGTAGACAGTGAAACCGGGGTTTTTGCCTTGCGACGTCAGAGTGTGCGCCGTTATCAGCTGTGTTTGACATCAGATTTGCGCTTCTGATTGGCCAACGTGGCTTTACGGTTAAGGTTTATATCGCCGCCTGCTGGCATGGCATGCTCTTGATCGCGCTTGATTGCGTGTTTTTACGTTTTCATGTAGACGGAGACCGAGCATGTGTGGACGGGATTTTTTTTAAAAACGCTGTAGGAAAAACTCCGGTTATAAAAATACCCGTGTCCGTGTGGACATGGCCTGAGTGAGAGAGTGAGAGGGAGAGAGAGCGAGAGAGTAAGAGGATAAGAAAGTGAAACTAAAGGTCAGGATTAGAGATTGCAGTACGGCATAAACCACAGACAAAATGAACCTTGAGAGACACAAAGATCAAATCCCCTGAATGGGGTAAACAGATCTTAAAGCATTTAGATCGATAGGAGTTACGATACTTGCATGATTCTTCGAGTGGCTGAGAACGAAAGCGTGTGTGTGTGTCTCTGTCCTCGTGTCACGCGTTCACGTGGTCTTTCAGAGCGAGGGAGCGCGTTAGTTTGAATGTGCTTTGAGGTGCAGTTGCTGGTTGGTTCAAAGAGTCTCTTTAAAGTTGAAGTTGCCGATTACGTTGATTTCACTGAAACTGAATGTAGGAAAGTCCGAAGACGAAAATAAAGAAAGATTAAAGAAAAAGGAGAAACATGGCGTAAAGCTCCCTAAGGAGCCATGGAACCGGAAACCTCTCACAGGGAAAAAGCTCTCTATAGGAACTTCCTGGGGTCAGTCTTCCAGTTTCCAGCATGTTGTGTGATGCTTTCTCCGGTGTGTTGAAAGTCTCAGTGTGGCCGGTACCATGAGTGCTCGCTCTTTTGTTCGAGCACGCGCAAGAGCGCTCTTGTAAAAATTGGTTGCAATCTGAAACATCACCGATAGAGGCCGCTAAAAAATACATATAGCCCCTTTAATCATTTTCATTGTACATATAGGAGGCATTTGTGAAACAATATCAACAATAGTCTATCAAATATCATTCATATTACAAACAACTTGTTTTTAGTCACGCTGTTTAGAGGTGATGCATTGAGAACATATTGAAGACTTTATTGGATTGAAATCACTCTCTGCACATTGTGTAAATGTGAGAAATAAAAATAACCAAGAACTTGTGATTTATTTAACTAAATAGATTTAATTTAGCTTACAATAGCTCAAGAGGTTTAACATTGTATTCAGCATTGTTAATGAACCAGTAGTAGTAAACAATTATTCTTTTGACTAAAAATGGCACCAGTTGTTTTTTATGTATATTTGAAGAGGCGATTAATCTCATAATATGAACTCGACAAACACATCACTGAGAGAAGATGAAATTGCTTGAATGTGTTCTGTGTCTGTGATCATTCAGCAGTGAAACTTTTCCACCTGCTAGTTATGAAATAAGGTTTACGGTCATTTAGGCTCTTACATTATATAGTTATATGCAGAGGTGGAAAGTAACGAATTACATTTACTCGCGTTACGTAATTAGTTTTTTTGTGTACTTCTACTTTTTTAAGTAGTTTTTAAAATCTGTACTTTTACTTTTACTTAAGTACGTTTTGTTTGAAGTGTTGTACTTCGCTACATTTGAAATCATATCCGTTACTGAGTAAAAAATAATAATACAAGGGAGAGGAAAAAAAAATCACACTCCGGAAACTACTGCATTGGTTGAAGGGCGGGAGAACAAACGCGCAAGAAAGGTGACGCAGAACCAGATGAAGCTGAAAGCGAAGCGCTCTCGTATTCTTATGAAGCGAATTATGGCCCGTATGAAAATACTTTGTAGGAAAAAAACGTGGTTGTCCTCGAGGATAGATATCCAATTTGCAAAAAATGTGGACGCAAAGTGGCTGCAAAAGGAGGATACATAGGACACCATCTCTCCTGCAGATAAAGGTATGTCCCGATTATAACTTAAGGCCGAATGACTTACGTGATGCAGAGGGAATCCCGGAATCCAGTCATGAAAATGGAATTATTAATGCAGATGTCACGTAAAACACGCAAAATAATGGATGGACGAATACGTGGAAAGTAGAACTGTGCAATAAATCCAATCGCGACATGGTCTGTGAATATTTAAGCACAAAAATACTGCATGTAAATATATAACGTTAACCCTATTTGTTCTGCTGAGCTGCGCCGCTTTGTCTACTACATTCTCAAGTACGCGTGACGTTCATGGTGTTTTCAGCGTCTCACAAACAATTTGAGGACATGAATACATGAACATTTCCAGAGCTGCTCTGAGAGAACGCCTAATGGGCATTTTCATAATTTTATTTGAGAAAAACTAGGCCTGTAGCGGCGCGTCGATGACGTCGACGCTTCGACGTCAAAAATTCGTCGACGTCATATTTTTTTGTCGACGCTTCTTTATTTATTTATGTATTTATTTTTTTGCACCGTTCCCGGCGGTACAGCTCGCCACACACACGTGGGAGACCGAAACATTGCAGAATCGAGGACGAAACAGCAACCTCTTCACAGAATTCACAACAAAGCCATGCAAAAGTCCCAACAAAAGAAAAAGTCCTAAAAAACCCAGCTCGCACTAAATCATCGAAGGTATGGGAATGCTTCAAATTTAGTCCCAAACGTAATGGTGTCGTTATTTGCGCTCTTTGTCAAATGGAGTTGACATCCCAAGTCTCCCGCATAGTGATAGCGGCTCCCTGATGACCGCAAATTAGTTAAAATCTCCCGGAATCTAGAGCTCGCGAGCTCCAAACCGTGTAGCGCGCGCAGCGAGGGAGAGAGCGAGAGACCTTGCGCGTGTGTGTGTGCAAATGTGCGTGTGTGCCTTATGAAGCGCATGTAAACCCCACCCCCGTCAACAAAACCGAAAAATCAGTCCGGATGTTTTTTATGAGCACTGAAAACATTAAAATGAGCACCACATCCAAGTGTGATAGGGCTTATTTGAGTAGCCTACCAAACATTTTACAGTGTAGATACTCTGTAAGAACCAGATCAAAATTGTTGTGCATTGAATGTGCACTCCTGCAATTTCCATGTTACAAAAAAGAATCGTTCAATTAGTCGTTAGATTAGTCGACTAATCGATAAAATATTCGACAGACTAATCGTTTAATTAATAATCGTTTACCCCAGCCCTACTTGTCAAATACACTTTGAAACACTTTTTTTTTTTTACACTTTTGGTCTTCACTACAACCCGTCAAAATAAAAGTTCGGTTTTAGGAGAAATTATGACAGAAATATATGACTATTGTAGGCATACAATAGAACGTAGCCTACTTCTCAAAATAATAATGATAACAACAATAATAATACATTTTATATAAACATTATTTAAAGGAATATATTTTTTGTCCATGGTTTAATTTAGTAAATCTGTTTTTGCAGCGCTTCCCCGAAAAATAAAAGGACACAAGTTTAAATTTACATTTGATTACCACCGTTTGTTAGTTGTTAATCTAATTCATTATCAATTATCGAATTTAATTGATTAGACATGTTTTATTGAAATTTAATAAACAAAACAAACAAATGGTTTCAAGTTTGTTATAATTAAAAGCATTTGTTCAACCAAAAAACCTCGTTTTCATTAATTTAACTGTCATTTTAACTGATGATAATAATAATAACCATAATTTAATAATACAGTTTATTTATTTAATAATTGATTAATACTGTAAACCGTGATATTTTCTGAGACGTTATCATACTGTGAAAATCTCATACCATTACAACCCTACACGGGAGAGTCCCCCATCCCACCCCCGCTGTTTAAAAAGTAACTCAGTAACTTTTACTCTGAGTAAATATTAAATAAGCTACTTTTTACTTTTACTTGAGTAGATTTTTAGACCTGTAATTTTACTTGTACTTAAGTAAAATTTCATTGAAGTAGTAGTACTTTTACTTGAGTAGAATATTTGATTACTCTTTCCACCTCTGGTTATATGCTATATTTTGACAAACAATTTAGTCCAAAAAAGTAATTAACTTGTTTTGAGCTTGAGTTATAACTTGAAGCCTATAAAATTAATTCAAAATTCTGACTCCAGAAGGTGAATACAAATTACAATTCAATTCAATTACAAGTGTAAAACTTTATCCCAAATCAAATATATTTGGGGAAATAAATAGTGTTTGTATAATCTTAAACAAGATAATAGATTTTATATTGGTTGTTTTGTATCTAATGAAGTTTAGATAGTTTATAGATTGTTTCCCGCCAGTAGAGGCGCTTGAGCAACCGAAGCAATGACACACATCCGAGTCTAGGAGAAGAAGAGAAGTGAGCGAGGGAAGGGAACATAAACATGAGAAGTGGAACACAGCCGTTCATTCTGCTCTAAATCTGCTGTTTTACAGACTGTGAGTACATTCATTTTATCATTTATTAGGAGAAATCTAAATCCGAACGACTAAACGAGTCCGTTCATAGTTAATCACTCAGAAATGAATCGAAATGAACCGACTGATGTTGTTCATTACGCTCGTGAAACAAACTTGTTACTGACTGTTTTTCACATTACAATTTTTGAAGATTGAGTTGTTTTTATTTTTATTTAATGAAGCCTGATAAACAGTTTTAATGCATGTAAATGTTATCTAATGTAAGAGCAACATAAAAACCAGCTAGAGTTGAATTGTTATAGTTTGATCAAAACACTTAAAGCTGAATAATCTCGAGTGATTGTAAGTGTGATGATCATCTGCTAAATGAGCAACAACGACCACAATTCACTCCTTCAGTCAGTGAAGCTCCCACAGCCGTTCATGAGAGTTTAAATGCTGGGGAATATTCACATCTTCCCACAGGAGAAGAAGAAGCAAGCAGGAGGAATTACTCCAGGAGAAACTACGGACATACTATTGTAAAGATGGAGATTAAGGTAGAACCCTGCAGAATAAAAGATGAAGATACAGAGGAACAAATAGGTTGGTGTTTTCCTTCATTCTCGTTGACTTATGTGGAACTTAAAAGACCAATTCACACAGACAGACGCAGATCCACGCAGAGAGTCACCAGATTACGGATGTCACCATACCAAAAACTAGTAGTCTGTTGTACTGATACCACCATGGTAAAAAAAAAAAGAACAACATACTTACAATACTTAAATATTAACTCCTTTATATGTTTTTATATATGTATACATATTTTAAAAGAAATGACAATAAACTCACCAAAATGTTTGGTCACTCACTCAGTGTATTTGTTTTTTTTTATTAGGTAATTTGTTGCAATAATCAGTAATAAAACAACGATTAAACACATTGGAAGCAGTAGCATAAATAAAAACAATAGAATAAAGATAATTAAGCAATGCTGTATATTTTCTTCAGGTATATAGGTCTCACAGTAGTATTCAAGTAAAAATACCACATAAATTGAATATCATATTAAATTACTCTGCATAATCATAACTGTATCATTTAAATATGAATCCTTATTTAAGCTATTAATCCTTATTTAAGATATTCTTTGGTTGTTTGATTATCATTATTAACACAGGCAGCCAATAGACAGCAGTTTTTAAAGGCTGCTGTCACTTAAGACCTAATGAATGGGGACATGCTTTTACACATGCTTTTCACATTCACATAATTGACACAAATATTCACCAAGACGGGCATTTTGACATAACTATGTGTGTATTTGAACGTTTATGTGTAATAAGCCACGAAAATCTGACACTCGTGAGAGACGGCTATGTGTGTGGGTGTTGGTTGAGCACTGACTGAAGAGGGCGCGCGAGTACACTCAAAGTTTATAGTTTAAAATCGCTTGAATTTATAAATTGGCCTGATATAAAGCACTAAAGTCTTGTATTGTACCGTGCAGCTTGCTTGCAGAGCAAAATCAATGTGAATAAATGGATGTGAAGACATTTGCGCATTTTGAGAGGGCGAAAGAGAAGACTTGACGAGCCGCTTGCGCTGGTTTCTGTGACTAAAACTGCGATCAAACCTTCATTAATAATTCCAAACATGAATCTCGTGAATTAAAAACATGAATTAATAAATGCACATACACAGTTCTATGTGATAATTTTTTTTTTTTTTTTTGAAAACCTGTAGTATTTTCGAATTACCGCGCTTTACACCCTCATATCCCCCTGGGATGAGAGATTTATGAATTCAAAAATAATTTCACATTTCTTCTAAATAAATGACCCATTTTAAATACACATTCATCATTCTTACAGAGGTGAAGTATCCCTTTAAGGAAGAACCCTGCAGAATAAAAGATGAAGATACAGAGGAACAAATAGGTTGGTGTTTTCCTTCATTCTCTTTAATGACTGATGAGGAACATTAAGATGAAAACTCACATATCCTCTTGAGATCCAGGCTTCGACTTTTGAGTCTGGTTTTCCTGTAAAGAGCACATTCAGGGCTTTTCAGAGATACCACATGTTTAGGTTTCACCATTACAACTCCTTCTCTTTGGCTTTAAAATCGATCGACTGAATGATCAAATCTATAAACCCCAGTTATGGCGTTATTTCCCTATCAAATGTCGAGAGCACATTATTGTAGCGCGAAAGTACATTAATATAATGCGCGAGCGTGAATCTCTCTGCTCGCGCGCGGGAACTGGCGCACTCTCAGATACACGCTGCTCTTGTAAGAATTTTCTCTCTGGGCTCACTCAGAGAACATGCCTGCACTTTAAACGTGTTCAGTGCAATCGCGAATCTCTCCTCTTCGCTTAAAGTAAGCGTTTATGTGCTTAGACTGTGTCCCGTGCGTTCGCGCATGCCTTTACTCTTCTCTTCGATTTCTTTCTCTTTGCTCTTGGCATAAACGCTGTCAAAACGGCAACAACCAATCAGAAATTGCTATTCCATATGTTATGTAGGGTTTTTTCCCCTTTTTTCTGCTGTTCTGTAAAGCACTTTGGCCAGCCAGTGGCTGTTGTAAAAATGAGCTATATACATTAAATGAACTTTAACTAATAATCCTTGTCCTTGTGTTCCCATTGTCTCTTGTCTTTGTTCCCTGTACCATTGGTGATTCTATGTTTAGTCCAAGTTTATGTTCAAGTTAATTTAATATTGTCACTTCAACCCAAATCGGTTTATTGGAATAAACTATACTTGGGTTCAATTCATCTCGACTTCAGTGGACTACATTACACATATTATAGACATGATTCATGGGTCTTTTTAAAATTATCTTTCTAGATCTTTTTGTCTTAATTTTAAAATCTGAAAGTTCTTGTTTTAAGTTCTTCATATAGGCCTATTATATAGGCTACCTTGTTATATAAAAAACATTAAGAAAGGTTTTAATAATTATTAAAACCTTTCTTAATGTTTTTTTATTGAATGAAACGTTTTTCATTTTCTTAGAAAAACATTAATAGAACGTTTATATAAAGGGAGAATTGAATGTTCTAACGTTATTATAACCAGGAAATAACGTTAACAACGTCTAAAAAACTGGACGTTTTGAACGTTCCTATAACATTCAGAAATAACGTTTTTATAACTTAATGGGAACGTTATGAAAACGTTCTTATAACCTAAAATTGTTTGCTGGGGAAGAGGAGAGATTCGCGATTGCACTGAACACGTTTTAAGTGCATGCATATTCTCTGAGCGAGCCCAGAGAGAGAATTCTTACAAGAGAAGTGTATCTAAAAACGCGCGCCCAGTTTCTCGAGAGAGATTCGCGCTCGGCACATTATATTCCGCGCGCGAGCAGAGAGATTCGCGCTCGCGCATTATATTAAGGTACTTTCGCGCTACAATAATACGCTCTCGACATTTTACGGAAATAACGCCATACCAGTCAGCTGAAGATTGTGCGTACATGCGTCTCCTCCCGCCCCAGACTGATCTCATGAAATAGCGTATGTATGACACGCCAATTCGTATTTCCATTTTTGGCGTGCTATCAACACGCATAATCGCTTTTCAGCGTGTTTATCAACGCCGTTGACTTAACGTTACATTACTGTATATATAAATATATGACCTACCCCAACCCCGTCCCTACCCGTCACTGGGGTTAATACCATTTATGAGTCTTAAGCCCCGTACACACCGGGACGAATATCGGCGCGCGTTATTCGTCAGCGTTTTTCAACGCGTTTTTCGTGTTCACACCCAAGCGATTTTTGCTGACGTTGAGCCGAGTGAACATGCAAATTCATTCCCTGACATTAGATGGCGCTTAATGTAAAACAGAAATAGTCCTAGTTTCTAGTCGCTGTCGCGTTTGTCATATAGTTCTTTATGTTCCGAAACCAACGAGACCAGCAGCTCTACATTCATCTTGCCTTGCATCTTCCTCGTCTTATTTCTTCCCGGCAGTGTAGACCATAGATATGCATAATAAAGGCCATTGGCCAGCAGCGCGGACGAGACATCTAGCCTTTATTATGGATATCTATGGTGTACTGTAGACGCTACTTGGCGCATCTTCTTCGCCGTTACGCATTTGTGCTCGGCAAGACCGTTCTGTGTTTGAGCGCCCCCAAGTTGTGTTTTACTGTAACTTCAGAAGCTCCAGACACGTGAGCAAAAGCGCCAATCTCATTGGTCGGATAGTTTTTGACGCGGTGTTTTGCAAATTGCAGCGTTTATACATCTGGCCCCAGGACTTAGATAAAATGAGATATTCTCATGAAAATGTTGCCATGTTATTACTCATTATAACAGTATAACTCATTCATTACATGTTGCCACAAGAACACATTAATATGCAAATTAAATAAATTGTATAGAATGGGACTACCCGTTTATGGTGATTTTACACATTGCATAAAGTAAAATAGTTTTTCAAATCATACTCTGTTATAAAAATGTATTGGTAAATTAAAAAAGAATGCCTATACATGTCTAATGTCATTTTATTTTCTTAATAACTGAGTCCTGGTGTACAGACAAAATATGAATAAACTATCTTTAAAAAAAAAATCTCCATTTGTTTCTTATGCTCCAAATAATCTACTGACAAAATAAACAACAAAAAAAACGAGAAAGTTCTGGTTCTCCTGAGGATATAACAATACATTTAAAACTAGATACTAGTAGACTCGGTAGTAAACTAGATTTGTGCTAAATTAAGAATGAACATTATTTCTTCTTCTCATTTGTTCTTTTTTAATTGAATTATGGGAATTTAATGTTGTTTTTAGACCCGATGGAAGTGAATGAAGACAAACAGCAACAATTTCAAAAACCTCATTATTTCACAAATGAAGATGGAAATGCAGTGATTTCACAGACTGAAGAGAATTTCACACAGAAACAAGCTGGAAAATCTGGAGTCAAAGGATCTTTCACCTGCTCTGAGTGTGGAATGTTTTACTTGCACAAATCACTCTTTAAGAGACACATGAGAATTCACACTGGAGAAAAACCGTTCTTCTGTTTTGAGTGTGGAAAGAGTTTCATAGATAAATCAGGCCTTAACCGACACATGAGATCTCACACTGGAGAAAAGCTGTTGTCATGCACTCAGTGTGGAAAGAGATTCAATCGCACAGGACACCTAAGATATCACATGAAAATTCACACTGGAGAAAGGCCGTATACATGCTCTCAGTGTGGAAAGAGTTTTGTTTACAAAAACATTCTCAAAGATCATTTGCTCTCTCACTCTGGATTGAGATCATTCAGCTGTGATCAGTGTGATAAAACATTTGTTTATTTGTCTAACTTAAAAGAACACCTTAAAGTTCACACTGGTGTGAAGCCTCACGTTTGTTCTTTTTGTGGAAAGAGTTTTTCGCGACTGGCGACTTTAAAAGTGCATGAGAGTATTCATACTGGTGTGAGACCTCATTTGTGCTCTGACTGTGGGAAGGCCTTTATTACATCAGGTGCATTAAAACAACACCAAAGAAATCACACTGGAGAGAAACCGCAGTGCTCTTCATGTGAGAAGAGTTTCACCAGTTTATCTACTCTAAAGATACATAAGAAAAACCATTGCCCGAAGGTGTCTAAGTGAGGAAAGTTTATGTTCTGATAATCGCTTTCAGGTGAATAGTTTAATTTTATCAGGGTTTCTATGCAATATGGTCAAGTATGAAATTTGATTTTAGTGATTTCTGAGTCTGGACAAGTATATAAGGAAACCTGTTTCCCTCTATTCCTAAATAAATGTATCATACAAGCAGCGTGTTTTCTTTCTCTCTCTTTTTTTGATTGCAGCAGCCAAAAGGTCTGTGCTTGAGGGGATCTTTTATATGTTTAATGTATCAGTGTTACAAATTCAAGGTGCATAATGCATTTACATTAAAGGAATAGTTCCCCAAAATTGAAAATTAAGGAGAACATGTCTAGTTCTAGAGATGCTTAAAGTTTGAGGGGGGATGCCATTCCAGTTCAAATTGTAAAAAAAAAAAACACTTTAAAAAAAAGCCTAGGAAAGCGATACGAATTCAGCGCAAAAAATATATAGGCCTGTATAATAATTTTCAAAAAGCATCTCCTTATTCTATGGTTGGTTGTGCAATCAACTTTCATTGCAGCCAATAGACATGCTTCTCTATCGGTGCACGTCACAGAACCGATCATCACAGCAAACCACTTCAGGTAAATGAACTGTGATAAACCGAGATTATGGCCGAAAATCAAGAAACAATGTCCAATTTCCATACTATCCATCCTTAATAGTATGTGAGATTAAAATGTGTCCCAGGCAGTATCGTCAACTGTATCTTCAAAAAACTGTGTTCCTTTTTAGAAAGAAATGATATCTGCGAGGTTTTTACACATGATTTGCTCTTATCTGATCGCGGTTGTATCTCTCTATTAGTGTAACTCGATCTTAGTGCTGCATTTGATACCATTGACCACAACATTCTTTTGAATAGACTCGAAAATTATGTCGGCATTAGTGGAATTGCATTAGCATGGTTTAGATCATACTTATCTGACCGTTATCAGTTTGTTGCAGTAAATTAAGAGATGTCTTATCGATCACAAGTTCAGTATGGTGTACCACAAGGCTCAGTACTAGGACCATTACTGTTCACCATTACTGCTACCCTTAAGAGATATAATTTAGAAAGCATGGCATTAGTTTTCACTGTTATGCTGATGAAACTCAGCTCTATATTTCTTCGCGCCCTGACGAAACTTACCAATTCACAAAATTAACAGAATGCATAGCTGATATAAAACATTGGATGACTAGTAACTTTCTACTACTTAATTCTGAAAAAGCAGAGATTCTAATTATGGTACAAAAAACTTCCTCACACTATAACCCAGAAAACTGTCTAACACTTGATGGCTGCTCTGTCAAGTCTTCGTCGTCGGTTAGGAACCTGGGTGTGATCTTTGATAGCAATCTTTCATTTGAAAGTCACGTGAATTAGTATCTGTAAAACCGCATTTTTCCATCTTAAAAATTTATCTAAATTACGTCATGCTCTCATTGACCGATGCGGAACAGTTAGTTCATGACATCAAGGCTAGATTATTGTAATGCTCTACTGGGTGGTTGCCCTGCACGCCTAAGAAACAAACTACAGCTGGTCCAAAACGCAGCAGCTCGAGTTCTTACCAAAACCAGGAAGTATGACCATATTAGCCCGGTTCTGTCAACACTGCATTGGCTCCCTATTAAACATTGAATACATTTTAAAATATTACCGATTACTTACAAAGCACTAAATGGTTTAGCTCCCCAGTACTTGAGTGAGCTTTTAAAACATTATAGTCCTTCACGCCTATTGCGATCTCAAAATTCCGGCCAGTTGATAATACCTAGAATATCAAAATCGACTGCTGGCGGTAGATCCTTTTCCTATTTAGCACTAAAACTTTAGAACAGTCTTCCTAACTTTGTCCAGGAAGCAGACACTCTGTCAGTTCAAAGCTAGACTAAAACACATCTCTTTGACCTAGCATACACACAACACACTATAGACTTCTATAATTCAATGTAAGGCTGCATTGATCAGGTTAGCCGGAACCGGGAACACTTCCCATAAATCCTGATGTACTCGTTACATCATAAGAAGAATGGCATCTACGCTAATATTAGTCTCTGTTTATCCCGAGGTTTACCGCAGTCCGCCGGATCCAGGCCATATCCAGATCTGATGAAGGACCTGCGTCTGGACTCGACGACAACGCAGTCCTGAAGTGTCACTAGTCCCTCCCTGTGAAGGCCTCCTTCCCTTTACCTCTGTACAGATAATTGTTGTCGGGATAATTCCGATTCACGAGGCTACGCCGAAGCGATACAATTCTGTATTATAAATTAAATTTTAGGGCCAGACAAGTAGTTTTTTTGAGGGTTGTTTTTTTAGGGAAGGACTACATGCCTGTGCTAGAGGTCTGCACGGGCTTTAAACTGAAGCCCGAACCCGCGATCATTTAACCCGACCCGACTCGACAATTACATTTACATATTAAGCCTGAACCCGACCCGAACCCGAGGTCCATTCTGTTTCTCACAGCAAATACCATTTTTTCACGTCTGCTGTCTGTCTGTATTGTGACTGAAATAGCGCGCGAGAGCGGTAGCACATGCGCAAAACAGTTTTGTGATATAAATGATATGATAAAATAAAACAAATAATTTATAAAAATTATATATATATATATATATATATATATATCATTATCATTATATTTGAGAGAGAGAGCCTGTGTGTATGCACATATTGCACATCTGCGCACGTAGCCTACTATGTAGCCTACTTTCTCTCTCTCGCGTGCCGGTCACCACAACACAGCAAGCAGGCAAAGCACACGGCACGCAAACTATATATAGCCTATTTAGTTTTTCTTAGTTAAACCCGAACCCGACCCGAACCCGAGGCTGTTCATTAAACATTGACCCGAACCCGACCCGAAACCCGCACATTTTTCGGGACCCGTCGGGCTCGGGTCGGGTATCAGACCTCTAGCCTGTGCACATATTCAAACGCGCATACCTACAGGTCCTTCTCAAAAAATTAGCATATTGTGATAAAGTTCATTATTTTCCATAATGTAATGATAAAAATTAAACTTTCATATATTTTAGATTCATTGCACACCAACTGAAATATTTCAGGTCTTTTATTGTTTTAATACTGATGATCTCAAAAAATTAGCATATCATGAAAAGGGTCTCTAAACGAGCTATTAACCTAATTATCTGAATCAACTAATTAACTAAACACCTGCAAAAGATTCCTGAGGCTTTTAAAAACTCCCAGCCTGTTTCATTACTCAAAACCGCAATCATGGGTAAGACTGCGACCTGACTGCTGTCCAGAAGGCCATCATTGACACCCTCAAGCAAGAGGGTAAGACAGAAAGAAATTTCTGAACAAATAGGCTGTTCCCAGAGTGCTGTATCAAGGCACCTCAGTGGGAAGTCTGTGGGAAGGAAAAAGTGTGGCAAAAAACGCTGCACAACGAGAAGAGGTGACCGGACCCTGAGGAAGATTGTGGAGAAGGACCGATTCCAGACCTTGGGGGACCTGCGGAAGCAGTGGACTGAGTCTGGAGTAGAAACATCCAGAGCCACCGTGCACAGGCGTGTGCAGGAAATGGGCTACAGGTGCCGCATTCCTCAGGTCAAGCCACTTTTGAACCAGAAACAGCGGCAGAAGCGCCTGACCTGGGCTACAGAGAAGCAGCACTGGACTGTTGCTCAGTTTTGCATGTCATTCGGAAATCAAGGTGCCAGAGTCTGGAGGAAGACTGGGGAGAAGGAAATGCCAAAATGCCTGAAGTCCAGTGTCAAGTACCCACAGTCAGTGATGGTCTGGGTTGCCATGTCAGCTGCTGGTGTTGGTCCACTGTGTTTTATCAAGGGCAGGGTCAATGCAGCTAGCTATCAGGAGATTTTGGAGCACTTCATGCTTCCATCTTCTGAAAAGCTTTATGGAGATGAAGATTTCATTTTTCAGCACGACCTGGCACCTGCTCACAGTGCCAAAACCACTGGTAAATGGTTTACTGACCATGGTATTACTGTGCTCAATTGGCCTGCCAGCTCTCCTGACCTGAACCCCATAGAGAATCTGTGGGATATTGTGAAGAGAAAGTTGAGAGACGCAAGACCCAACACTCTGGATGAGCTTGAGGCCGCTATCGAAGCATCCTGGGCCTCCATAACACCTCAGCAGTGCCACAGGCTGATTGCCTCCATGCCACGCCGCATTGAAGCAGTCATTTCTGCAAAAGGATTCCCGACCAAGTATTGACTATTGAGTGCATAACTGAACATAATTATTTGAAGGTTGCCTTTTTTTTGTATTAAAAACACTTATTTTATTGGTTGGATGAAATATGCTAATTTTTTGAGACAGGAATTTTGGGTTTTCATGAGCTGTATGCCAAAATCATCAGTATTAAAACAATAAAAGACCTGAAATATTTCAGTTGGTGTGCAATGAATCTAAAATATATGAAAGTTTAATTTATCATTACATTATGGAAAATAATTAACTTTATCACAATATGCTAATTTTTTGAGAAGGACCTGTATAGTCAGAATTAACTCTTAATACGCATGTGCACGCTATCAGCGTTCTCACAGGTTAACATTTTTTAAAGTTTGCATAGAGAGAACTTAAAGAGTTTTCTGTTAAAACGTTGTCATGTTAGCGGCCCTATGTTAATAACTAATGCTCTTCATGTGGGAAGAGTTTCACCCAATTATCTACTCTACAGAAACATAAGAAAAAGCATTGCCCGAAGGTGTCTAAGTGAGCAAAGTTCAGATCCATGACTTGTAAATAATTTGATATTCAGATTAAGCAAAAGGTGAAATTACTTTTATTAGAGTAATTTAAAATTAGTATTGTTTGATTGTTTGACAAGGGGAACCTTTAAGGAAGGTCAAAATGGTTGTGTATTGCATTCTAAAGGCCGGTTCACACCAAGGACGATAACTATAACTATAATGATAAAGATATAGTTCTAAAAATCTTTCTCATGTGATCGCAACAATGTGAAAATACTCCTGTCGGTGTCATCGCTTAAGCACTGCATGGTCATCTCATATCTCAGATACGGCAACAGAGCCTGCCGCTCCAAAATCTGCAAACCAACCACAGAGACTCCTTGACGCATATTCCAGACGGATGCTAACAATGGTCATCTCATACAGATGGAACACAAATAATAATTCAGAAAACTGTGTTGCCATAAAACGCTATGATTTATGAAAGAATGTGTTTTGTTTCTTTGTGTAGTTTAATCATTTTCATTGTACATATAGGAGGCATTTGTGAAACAATAGCAACAATAGTCTATCAAATATCATTCATATCACAAACAACTTGTTTTTAGTCTGGCTGTTTAGAGGTGATGCATTGAGAACATATTGAAGACTTTATTGGATTGAATCACTCTCTGGACATTGTGTAAATGTGAGAAATAAAAATGAACACAACTTGTGATTTATTTAACTAAATAGATTTAATTTAGCTTACAATAGCTCAAGAGGTTTAACATTGTATTCAGTATTGCTAATGAACCAGTAGTAGTAAACAATTATTCTTTTGACTAAAAATGGCACCAGTTGTTTTTTTATGTATATTTGAAGAGGCGATTAATCTCATAATATGAACTCGACAAACACATCACTGAGAGAAGATGAAATTGCTTGAATGTGTTCTGTGTCTGTGATCATTCAGCAGTGAAATACTTGTTTTCCACCTGCTATAAAATAAGGTTTACATTTAGGCTCTTACATTATATGGTTATATGCTATATTTTGACAAACAATTTAGTCAAAAAAAGTAATGAAATTAACTTGTTTTGAGCATATTTTGTGTTCTAGTCGAATCCATTGTGATTCATGAAACAAGTAAACTGATTTAATTCACTGTATTTATCAGATTGTGAGGACATTATTTAATCATGCAACGTGCATTGAGCTGCTCAGATAGAACTGGAGTTGGAGTTTAAGGTAATTCTTCATATCTCTTATTGTATCATGTAACTTGAATTTAAAATGAAACTTTAAAATTAAAGGGGCTATATGGAACTTTTTCCCCAAAATAAACGTAACAATAGCCTTTTTATTTTACCATTTATGACTTAAACATCTCCTGATGAGCATACTGACACCTTGTCCGCTTACATTGGGTGCACCTATAAGCCTGTATCCTATTTTTCATATTTTCTGTCGGGTCGGATTTTTCCCGCGCTGTCTGCGGATGTGACGTCAAGCGCGTCATGTTAAACGTTTCAGATCACTCTGCCACCACCGCTAGTCAGCAAGTAGCCTACACTCGCAAGCAGTGCAATGGATTTTGCAAATACACAGAAGAGACCCAGGACAACTCGGACACCAACAGTAACTCCACAGATGACTAAAATAGTTAAACCCTTGACTAGTGGCCGAAAAAGATCGAAGATTGAGAGCGACCGGCGCCGAGCAAGGATTAGAGTGAACATCGGCTTCGCATTTGAGCCTTGGAGGGAGCTCAGATCTGTGTTGGGAATACGAAGTGACCCAGAAATGGCTTTTTTTTTCTAATACGTGATAAAAACTATTCATTGAAATAGCACTGTGTTGTTTTCAGTTCACTTGTAAATGCTGTTAGTGAAGTGTGCACGCACTTAAAGTGTGCTGCGAGAGTGAGCAGAAAGGAAGAGCAGTTCTGTTTTTTTGGCCACAGGTGTCAGTCGCGAGTTTAAATTTCAGAAAAACGCATATAGGCTCTTTAAAGGTAATATAGGTTTAATGTGGTTTCCGCCAGTAGAGGCGCTCGATCAACCAATGACACACATCCGAGTCTAGGAGAAGAAGAGAAGTGACCGAGGGAACATAAACATGAGAACTGGAACACAGCCGTTCATTCTGCTCTAAATCTGCCGTTTTTCAGACTGTGAGTACATTCATTTTATCATTTATTAGGAGAAATCTAAATCCGAACGGAAAAACGAGTCCGTTCATTTAGAATCACTCAGAAATGAACCGACTGATGTTGTTCATTTAGGCTCGTGAAAACTCGTTACTGACTCTTTTTTTCACATTAACGTTACAATTTGTGAAGATTGAGTTGTGTTTTCATTTTATGCAATTAAACCTTGTAAACATTTTTAATGCATGTAAATGTTATCTAATGTAAGAGCAACATAAAATTCAGCTAGAGGAGTTGAATTGTTTCTAAATGGTTGTTTGATCAAAACACTTCAAGCTGAATAATCTCGAGTGATTGTAAGTGTGATGATCATCTGCTAAATGAGCAACAACGACCACAATTCACTCCTTCAGTCAGTGAAGCTCCCACAGCCGTTCATGAGAGTTTAAATGCTGGGGAATATTCACATCTTCCCACAGGAGAAGAAGAAGCAAGCAGGAGGAATTACTCCAGGAGAAACTACGGACATACTATTGTAAAGATGGAGATTAAGGAAGAACCCTGCAGAATAAAAGATGAAGATACAGAGGAACAAATAGGTTGGTGTTTTCCTTCATTCCTTCAAGTTGTCATGAAGTGTTTTCAGTGATGTGCAACCTGTACATATTTATTCACACCTCAAAAAATGTGAGTTGGGGTTTCATGACCCTTTAATAACTAATGAGGAACATTAAGATGAAAACAAACATCTAACAATACATCTAAAACTAGATGCAAAAAAAAGAAACGACCTCCCACTTAAAACTGCTTTTTTTTAGTAGTGGATTTTACCATACCTATAACTAGATTGTATGGCTGCACGATTCTGAAAATGTCACAATTTGATATCGATTTTTAGGCTCAAGATTCGATTCAAAATCGATTTTCGATTAAAAAATGATTCTCGATTCAAAAAACGATTCGCAGAATGTAAATGTAGTTTACTTTTTCCTATGTGATTGATTGCAGTAGACATACAATTTAAAAGAAAAGAAACACAACAAATTAAACGTAGTTTGATATTACTTTATATGTCTTCATACAAAAATAAAAACTTTTGAACTAAAAAGTGCAAAGTGCCAAGCTTTGGCCAGCTTTCAAATACATTTAATTCAAGTTTAAAATAAAACTTAAATAAAAAGCGCTCGTGTCCGCTGCTATCAGTGGTGTGGATACAGTTGTTCTCTTGTGGCTCGCGCAGTCTTCACTCGGACACACTCTTCAATCTATCGCCGTTGTGGAGACTCTCTAGTCTACACGTTCTGGTTGTCACAAAATAAAATGCACACAAACGGGTCCCTGCTTGATATAGACTGTAACCACTGATGAACATATTCGGTTTTGATGAGAGAGAGAAAAAAAATTATACGAGTGCGGAGGAACCCTTACCTTCTGACACGCTTGGCAAAATATCACGTGATTTAAGAACTCATAGAGAAAAAAAAAGAACTCAACAAAATCTGCGGATCGATGGATTTATTCACAGTTTGAGCAGCGGCCGCACACCAGGCCGCCGGATGGTGTTGCTAAGAACTTGCAATGTATAACTATTATCAGACCGGCCCTCGCGGCCTCGAAAAACACTACCGGCCCACCGGGAAAAGCCCAGACTCTCCCGATTGCCACAAAAAAACAAAAATGAATCGATTTTTGGAATTCTGTGAATCGATTTTAAATCGGTAAAGCTTGAATCGCGATTCAAATGTGAATCGATGTTTTTGCACACCCCAACTAGATTGGGCCGTACTTGCTGACAACCAATTAATCATGTTATAGTTTTTAAAAGGAATACTGGATAAAAAACAAACATAAAAACAAACATAATACTACAAGTAAAACAGTGCTGAACTTTATTACAAAAATAAAAAAACAGTACTGAACCATGAAAATGTGCCAAATGAAATAAATATGAATATTAAAATGAGAGATTTTACAGAACAAATTCTACAGAAAATAATTTAAACATTAAAATATTACAGGTCAAATGTGTGTTTCTTTAGCTATAACCTAGAAACATGTATGTAAATAAATTTCCCACTTGTTCACAAGAATGTAGGCTAGTGCTGGGCGTTATGACCACAAATCCATATGATGGTATTTTATTTTTTCCAAGCATGACTGGGTGCTAACCACATTTTCTAATGATTGAGAGAGGAAATACTGCAGTAGATTGACTTAGAATGCCCTATTTTACTGTCATGAGTGAATATTGTAGAAATATCCACAATTGTATTAATTCAGGTTTGCACAAAATGATGCTGTTTACAAAGATGTGCCAGGAGGAGGCGCTGTAGGCACGGCACTCAGAAACAGCAGTTTCCTCGATAACGGCTGTACACAAAGCAGCGCTCATTAAAGCTGCTTTTTCAGGAAAGATAAAGAAAGATAAAATGAAAATAACATCGAAACTTTTCTTAAAGGTCCCCTGACATGAAATTTTCACTTTCTGAGATTTTTTAACATTAATATGAGTTCCCCGAGCCTGTATTTGGTCCCCTCGTGTCTAGAATTTTCAGTCGGTGTAAACCGAGCTTTGGCTATTTTTGTCTTCTCTGCAGCTCAGACGCGCTGATTTTGAATCTCCTCGTTATTACGTCATAATGAGGAAAAGTTACCTCCCCTTTCTCTGCTTTGCCCGCCCGGAGAATTTGGCTCGCCCATGAGAAAACGAGCTAGGAACAGGAAGTACGAACGCGCCGGCGCGATTTTAGTTTTTCCTATAGAAATAGCTTTGAGATTTGAGTGTTTCCTCAAGAGATATCATGGCTTGCAAACGAGCGAAGCATGGCAGTTGATCAGTGTTCGGATGTACAAATGAACACAAAAGTATTTTTTAGTTCCTTCATCCGAGCCTCTGAAGAAACAATGGGTTAATTTTATTTTCTCTGAAAATGCGCCGACACAACTTCCCAAAGTGTAGCCTAATTGTTCAAGTTTAGACAGGTAATCTTTCTCTCAAAATCGTTCGATACTGTTTATGCATCAGTTACTCAAGCCAGTGACTAAAATATCAACTTCACATCGTTTCTTTTAGTAGGATGAAAATAATCTTATATAAATTCTGAACAAATTATACAGAAAGCGATCAAAGAACAATCTTTCCACACAGCGTGAGTTTATCTGGACAACTCGTTATGAATTGAAATCAATGACGCACGTTACTGCACAACGAAGCTCTTACTGTATGTACATCATCGTGTTTGCATTGGTGAAAGCATTAGAGAGAGTGCAGAAACTGCGTTGCAATGATACGATCTTCATTCTCATGATCAACTGTCCAACATGACAGACTGTCCTCTGCTTGCTCAATGCTCATCACGGCAACATTTTATGTGATGGGAATAGATCTAAATACTTTAAAAACTTCTCACGATTCGTTAATATCGATAGCTGTAATAGTAAAAACGTATAATAGCTGTAGTAAAAGTATTCGAGAGAGTTTCACATGTAATATGTAGCTATTTCATATGCAAGCATGTCAGCCAATCACAGCAGTGGGCAGATACACTGAATCCCACAGCAGACACGCCCCTTCAAACAGAGCGTTCAAATCAGAGGCTAAAATCAGGTTAGGAAAAATGCCTTTTATTTCTAAATTATGACTATTTTTGATCTAAAAAACATACTAACATTATAAGGGCAACCCAGGAAACATTATAAATAATAAAATAACCCCATGTCAGGGGACCTTTAAGACAGTTCCCTTCAAAAATACATTCATATAAAAACACAGCGTTTTGACGTGCAGTGCTTATGATTATTTAACAATGTCAATGCCAACCACAAATACATTTTCCAAAAGGCTGTGTTGATATTGTTAACCAATTATAGTTTAACCAATCAATCTTCACCGTCACGCTTAGTAACACATACAGCTGTGCATCACCACAGTGCAACAGTGAAAAGCGACCCCTCTCAAACAGTGTCGCGCCGTGCAGCGTTACGATCGTTGTTAAAGCGACATACATATAATACCAAAAAATAAAAAACGATATTCGGTATGAACCGGTATACTGCCCAGCACTACAAGATTGTATTGCTAGCTTACATTAACTAAATGCATTATGCAATACATTTTTACAGCATGTATTAATATTTGAGCAATACAATTGTACCTTAATCATTCATGTTAGTTCATTGTGCATTAACTGAGGTTAACAGATAAATAAATTAAAACTCAATTAAAAAAACGTTTTAGTAAATGTTGAAATTAACAAACTAACAATGAAAAATACTTCTACAGCATTTATTATACCTAGTTAATGTTACAAATGGATCCTTATTGTAAAGTGTTCCCATTTCATATAAATCCAAACAGTCATAATTTTTTAGAACACTTGATTATCTAATCAAAATAACACATTACATATTGCAGTGATAAAAAAACAGGAAATTAAATCAAATGCGTTTCTGATGTGTTTATAAGTTTCTGTCAGCTACATGAACATATCAATTTACTTTCTCACATCAATAGCTTTAAAAATGCTTAAATGAATGCATAAAATTGACCAGCTGTATTCATAGCATTTAGCTGCCAGTTTTAAATGCGCATCTGAAGTGTCAGCGCTCTCCGTGCAGCGCGCAGCCTTACGTGTCAAAACAAACCCCATGAGGCATCAGTGATGGTTTTTATTTCGCCTCTAGAGGCCGCTCTCATACTGTATGATGACAGCAGACCCTTCTCAGCCTCTCCAGCACTGGACGCAACACAGAACAACTTTCGGCATGAATTTTTTCAGATAACCGATTTGTTCGAACAATCAACCATCGGTGCTGATTAATTGGTAAAACCGATGAATTGGTCGACCTCTAATAATCAACCCACAATCCAAACAATTGCCGTCCCCAAATTGCCGCTATTTCGAAATTAAAATGCTCAACGGTGCTTGTCCACTAGCGCAGAGCGAGCTTTTTCAGATATTTTCAATTCATTTTAAAAGCACGCTCTGATCTGCACCAGTGGACACGCACTGTAAGCGATTTAAAAGCGATGTGGAAAAAGAGGAAAACTCAGATGCCATCTCCAACTAATTTTCTTCACGGTCACATAGTTACATGTGGTAGAAAGGACTAATGCCAAAGCGCTGTCTTTGGTGTCTTACATTACAGACACTAGTGTTTATTGCTCTGTTATTGCACATCTGCATTCCTCATGCCTCCTTCAGCAGGACTATGGCATGTTCACACAGGTGATCAGAGTAGATTTCTACATGGGTCCAAAAATTTGTACCTGAACCTAAAGAGACCCATAAAGTTGCTACACAGAACCGACTCGGACCGGTCTATAATTTGAAAGCTGGACCCCAAACCGGCCGATACTGTTTTACAGCCCTAGTCCTAAGTTATTGGAACTGTGACATACATTTTCTTCTGCCTGTCAACTGTTAGGGCCTGGTTTCACCTCCACTCTGGCCTCCTTGGCTGTGGATGGGTAATCCAAAACAAAAACAGGAACAGAACAACCAGTAAATAGTAACGACGACAGACAACTGAACAGGACTAAACACTGGGCTTAAATTCACAGCAAATAAAAGAGGTTAAATTAACTAGACGCATCTGAACAGAACTCACTTTATCAGTAACGTGGATACAAACAGGCAGGGGAAGGAGGAAGACTGAACTAATTAACACACTGACAGCAAAACACTAAAACAGAAATACAAACATGAATCAAAACACTTAAGACTTGACCGTACCCTCCCCCTCCCGGGAGAGCAGGAAGCTCTGGAAAGGCTGTGAACTGGTAAACACAACGTAAATGTTAGAGCTATTATGGACCGTGCAATGCTCTCTGGGTTGGGCTCTGGAATGTCCCTTACTGGAACAGACTCAGGAATTTCTCTCACTGTAAATATTGTGACCAATGCTGTAATCCTTGAATTTTTCTCACTGCCGCTAGATCCCTTTTAATGGGTCTGTCGTTCTGTCATGGGCTGGTTATTCTGTCACATTTCTGCCACAATACCATAGTGCAGTTAGTGTTACTACAGTAATCATGGTAAATTATGGAGATTTGTAGACTGAAAAGTCTTCTGTCTGTATCGTTGCACACAGTGTTTCTCCTGTTTGTCAGCGCCGTTTCATCTGTCTTTTAACTAGTTTAAATCACTGAGACATTTGGACTGGACTGGACTGGATTTGTACTGCACTGGATCTCACAGCGCTGTTTAGTGGTTGCATGACAGAGACTGTTTAGCGAGTAAACGTATCTGCTCTAATAAGCTCACGCTGCGCTGCCGTTTGAACTTTGAGCCAAGTGGATATATGATCCGTGTTGCACCGTTCAAATGAGTTTCGTTCTGCTTTTGCCCCATAAACATTATCGAACATTTAGCCCTAGTCCTAAGTTATTGGAACTATGACATTTAATTTTCTTCCACCTGTAAACTGTTAGGCCTGGTTTCACAGACGGAGCTTAGATTAAGCCAGGATTAAGCCTTAGTTCTATTAGGACATTTAAGTAGCTTTTATAAATGTACCTTAAACATTATTGATGTGCATCTTGAGACAATACAATGGAAGTGACAAATATTTTAAGATCTGTCAGTGCAAGTGGCTTTCAATTAAAACCGCTCAAACATGTATTTTAGTCTGAGACTAAACTGTGACTTGACTTTCACTTGTCTGTAAAATCGGGGGTTTGTGTCTTAAGGACTGTTCCATAGGTTCATGTGCAATAATTTGTAAATGGTTAATTGAACAAGCATGAAAAACATTGTTTAAACACATTGTCTAATAAATATCTGTAAAGCTTGCTTTGATTTTACAAAATTATCTTTAAAATACAGTATCCTGAATTTAGTGTACTCACAGTAGGCACGGTTGTCTTGTACCGTGTCCTGGCGTGATTGTCCCTAACTTCCCCGCTGGTCTGCAATCAGATTGCACTTAATGTTCTGGGCCGGAGCACGCTTACGTCATTTTACGATGAAACTTTTTGTTTTGAATAAAATCACTTCCGCTAATAGATTTATCATTTATGCCACAGCGATTTTCACTTGAGCTGCACGTATTAATAGATTATTATGGAGGCAGCCCAATTGAACCGTGCCTGAGCCCACCTCTTCATGCGGGCCCGGACACGGTACAAAAAGTATTTCGTATAAGGAACTCGTAATTTTTTAAAGATGATTTTGTGTCATCTTGATCTTCTGAATAACTTGCATGAGCTTCTCTATATGTAGTTCCCTTTCGAGAACGGTCACTTCATATTGCGTAGCTAATACGCAGTGGGGGAAACTCCTTTCCTCAAGAAATATTTAAGCTAATAATTTAAAACGATCACAGTAGTCAAACGAACCAGATTTGGGGTCAAACGTGCTCGGGCATGGTTAAGATCGCCTAGTGTGTGTACACCCAACTCGGTAGTAAACTGGATGTGTGCTAAATTGAGATTGAACCATATATCTTTTTGTCCTTTTTTTATTGACTTATGGAAATTTTAATTTGTTGATTTTAGATCCGGTGGAAGTGAATGAAGACAAACAGCAAAAACCTCATCATTTCACGAATGAAAATGGAAACACAGTTGTCAAAGGATCTTTCACCTGCTCTGAATGTGGAAAGAGTTACATACATAAAACACACCTTCAGAGACACATGAGGATTCACACGGGAAAAAAACTATTCACATGCTCTCAGTGTGGAAAGATTTTCACAGATAAATCAACCCTTAACAGACACATGAGATCTCACACTGGAGAAAAACCGTTCACTTGCTCTCAGTGTGGAAAGAGTTTAACAGATAAATCAACCCTTAACAGACACATGAGAATTCACACTGGAGAAAAACCGTTCTCATGCTCTCAATGTGGAATGAGTTTCAGGTGCAAAGGTGTTCTCAACGATCATCTGCGCCGTCACTCTGGAGTGAGATCTTTCAGCTGTGATCAGTGTGATAAAACATTTGTTCTTTCATCAAGCTTACAAAGTCACCTTAATGTTCATGCTGGTGTGAAGCCTCACTTTTGTTCTTTATGTGGAAAGTGTTTTAGACTACTGCAACATTTAAAAGAGCATGAGACTATTCATACTGGTGTGAGACCTTATATTTGCTCACACTGTGGAAAGACCTTCACTACATCCACCCACTTAAAATCACACCAGAGAGTTCATACTGGAGAGAAACCGTACAAGTGCTCACACTGTGGAAAGGCCTTTACTACATCGAACGGCTTAAAATCACACCAGAGGATTCATACTGGAGAGAAACCGTACAAGTGCTCACACTGTGAAAAGAGTTTCTCTCAGTCAGGACACCTGAAAGATCACGAGAGAGTTCATACTGGAGAGAAGCCACACCAGTGCTCTTCATGTGGGAAGAGTTTCATCCGATTATCTCAGCTACAGACTCATAAGAAAAAGTGTTGCCTTGAGTTTCCTAAATAACTAAAGTTCATTTTCAGATCTGTAACATTCAAGTTAATAGTTTGATATTCTGATAAATCAAAAGATCGAATATCTTGTAACATAGCGACATCATCTGATAGAGAAATTTGTCAAAGTTACATAGAGGCATGGTGAGGTTTGCTCCAATTTTAGATGGAAATGCTTATTTATGTTTATGAATATTGTGCGTGGGTGTAAATGTCGTCAAACTAGTTATATCTATCAATATTCTGTGCAAATGTATTTATTTATTCTGGCTGTGAAGAGGTGATGCACTATTGTTAATGTCATTCATCATTATATACTTACATTGCATGTAGAATTTGTTACAAGAATAACAAAACTTGTACTTAGAGTGGCTTAAGTCATGAGCACATTTTTTCTTGAACAAAGTCATGTTCACAAATTCACCAGAATAGTCCAGCTCTACTATCTAGTACCTAATGATGAAATATTGGTTAATATTATTTAAGTTCGTACATTGCGATAATACCTTGTATTTTGACAAACATAATAAAAAAGTATTTCGTATAAGGAACTCGTAATTTTTTTAAGATGATTTTGTGTTGTCCTTCTGAATAACTTGCATGAGCTTCTCTATATGTAGTTCCCTTTCAAGAACGGTCACTTCATATTGCGTAGCTAATACGCAGTAGGGGAAACTCCTATTATTCATGTCGGCACTAATGATTATCGACTCCGCCAGTCGGAGATCACCAAAATTAACGTTAAAGAGATGTGTGAACTCACAAGTACGATGTCAGGCACTGTACTTTGCTCTGGCCCCCTTCCTGTTCACAGGAGTGATGAGATAGTAGACTGTCCTCACTCAAGGAAAAGTTTTTGGGCAGACCTGACCTGTTGAAATGTTGGATGGTGCTGCTCTTCTCTCTAGTAATATGGCACATAGTCTTAGAGCTCAAACATGACAATCTGGGGCTCAGGTCAGGCAGCAGACAGACTGGCTAAACCGACCGTCTGCTAGCTGTCTCACGTCACTGAGGTCAGATAAATCCCATCACATAGAGACTCTTTCACCTAGATATCATCATATAGAGACTGTGTCTGTTCCCCAAATTAGGACATACAAAAAACTTCGAAACCCATCTAAGGGTAAAAATTTAATTGATGTTCAACAAATAAAAAACAGATATAATATAAATGAGCAAATGATAATGCTTGGGTTGCTGAATATTCAATCCCTTATTTCAAAAGCACTTATTGTTAATGATATGATTACAGACTATAACCTAAATGTGTTGTGTTTGACAGAAACCTGGCTAAAACCAAACAATTACATTACTTTAAATGAGTCCACCCCCCAAGATTACTGTTATAAACATGAACCTCGTCTGAAAGGCAAAGGGGGAGGTGTTGCTGTAATTTATAGTAATATTTTCAGAATTACTAAGAAATCTAGTTTCAAATATAATTCTTTTGAAGTGTTGATGCTTAATGTAACAATATATAGTGCAAATGATAAATCACGTTTGATATTTGTGCTGGCTACTGTATACAGGACACCAAGGCACCATACAGACTATTACTATTGAATAAACTTGATGGGACTCTCCATTAAGGGTAAAAAAAACTGGTTAATTAAAACTGTACTACCAATTTCAGCGATAGAATTGTCAATATTGTTATGCTTACCATGCATTATGCAATGTGTGTCCAGCTCAGTACAGAGACTGGTGAAAGCTGTAATGTCGGTTCAATGGGTGAAAATGGCAGTCTATCCCAAGTATGAACAAAATTATGAGGATGATACAAGTAGTGGAAGTTACAGTGAAATGTGTTAAATTGAGTTAAGATATGTTTTTCCTACTATGATCTATACTATTTCTTGTTTATACTGAGGGTCTGATTTTATGTCCGGAATGCGATAACAGTGCTTATTCATTTAGCCCGGCTTCTGATAAAGCATTTACTTTGCTTGCTAAATACTTAAGGGACTATCATAAAAACAGCCTAAGCTTTTAAAAGCTTTTAAAAGTTTAAGAAGAGTGATCATTTATACGAAAATCAGAGATGAAGAGTATAAGTGTGATTTAATGAAGTAAATTTGCTGAATTATTATTATTATTATTCAGGCATGAAAACTCACCTTTCGACGAAATTCGCCATTTTAAAACCAAAATGGGTCACCTACGTGATTTGTGCAGATCCAATGAGAATCTAAACCGCTATATCTCTATAAACTTCGCAGCTTTAAAAAAAAAAACAATCATCATTCCTAATGCCGATACCTGACAGCCAATCCGAGTCAGAGTAGGGCAGAATTGTTTTCAAAGTATTTTACACCGCGAGTCTGACAACTGGACACACTGCCGAACAAAGAACTGCACATCGGAAAGCAAGCCTGAGGTAAGTTAGCTTACAATGTTAACTGTCCTGTCAGATAGACAGTGATTTTGATGAATTATAGATCAAAAGCATTGGTTAAAATTTTTTTGGGGGGTATTTTCTATATGTAGCTGTTGTTGTGTGTTTCTAAATAATTTCTGCATAGCGGTATATATATTGTAATATCGCGAGCAGGCGCCGTTAGCGCAGAGCGAGCAGGAACAAGTAGTGAGTGAGTTGTCATCGAAAAAGATGGATAAAGCAAAAAAGCTGTCGGGGGCTAGAGGGGGGAAGGAGATGGCATGTCAATTGATGCGACAGCAGCTAAATAAGTGCATGGTGAAAGGCAACAGGTAGAATTTAAAGTGTGACGTCCAGGCATGCTAATGCCATCGGGACTACCCGGAGATTCCGGTGGGCCGACGTGCTTTTTGGGCCGATACATCTCATACTTTTTTTGTTTTGTTTTTTGTCTTAATGGCCCATAGAACTCGTACATCGGCGGCACATTCGTTTTGGTTTGCTTAATTGGCGGTGCTGGGCATATATATATATATATATATGTGTATATCCTTCTCACCTGATTTCATTCCTGATTATTACTATTTTGATTATCAGTGAATGATAAAAAGGGGGAATTGTAATGGAAATTGTTTCTTATTTTCATTGATCTTCTGTAGATGTTACAAAGTAATGTGAGTCACATGTTTCTATTGTTTGTATTGTGATATGGAAACGGGAAATGTATGTATGTTTGTACACCTGTATCTGTGCAGAGTGAGACAGGATGGGATAGCTGAAGAGGGACCTTCTGACCTTAGAGGTCAGGATGCATCTAAATTAGTTGGTCCCAGTGTCAAAGATAGTGATGAATGGGAGCATGTGCAAAAGTGTGCCCAAGTTAGTGGAAAACTACTAGGAAAAAGCATCAGCTGAAGGAGACCTTAATAAAGAATATAAAAGGTGTCGCACAGCTCCTCCTCCTGGTCTTACACTCTGCAGGCAGACGGGCTCTGAATGTCTGTATGACTGTCTGACCTTCTCTTGCAAGAGAATAAATTACTTTAAAAGACAATTTGACTCAGTGTCTCTTACGCAGTGATGATGTTTAAGAAATTTGCCACAACACCTCTGATTTAAATGCTCTGTTTGAACGGGCGTGTCTGCTGAGAGACTTCAGTGTAAACCACTGCTCGGATTTGCTAACCTCTTTGCATATGAAATAGCAAGTATTACAGGTGGATCTCCCTCGAAAACCTTTTGCATGATTTGACTATTACAGCTCTCAAGGTTAACTAACCGTAAAGCGTTGATTATAGCAGGGGTTCCCAAACTTTTCCATGACAAGGCCCCTCAAATACCAGTAGGATCTGGACAAGGCCCCCCTTTTGGGGGATGTGTTATTGAACCCACCGACAATACTACGGCAAATGTAGAAATAAATAAATAAAACGCTTTTTTTTTTTCTTCCAACTTGCTTTGGCCTCTGGTCTTAGCAACTCGATTTCTGCAATCTAACGAATCATAACTAACAGTACAAACACAAAGTAAATAAGAGATTAGTTTACTATAACAGGAGTTTTGGTGCTGAGTCCAGAACTCGGTCCCTGATAAAAGTGAGCTGTTTGATTGACAGCTTCCAGCGATTGTAGAGGGAGAGTTCTTTGATAGCTTTCTATATATAATTTAACCACAGTTTAAATAACAGATTATTTTCATCCTACTAAAAGAAACAATGTGAAGTTGACCGTTTTGTGATTTACTGACACAGACAAGGAACATCTGACTGTACTTAAAACATTACATTTTAGAAATCACTGGTCAAAGATCAGGCATTAGAATTAACTCAGTTACTTACATTTTGTCGCATTACTATGAAGTCCATATTGTAAAAGTCCTTACCAAAGAATAGTACACAGTGAAATGTACTGAATACAAATAAATAATACTCTGAGGCATTCACATTGTTGAAAATAAATAACCACATTCCGAGCATTCGGCCCTGTGTCCACCAAAGCATTTTTTGACATTTGAGAGTAACAATTTCAACAATATGAGTGTAACGAGGCGCTGAGCGTGTATTTAACGCTCAAGCGCTGAGCGCTCATCGATTTTTACCGGTCTCTGAGAGTTGAAGAATGTTCAACTTTGGGTAAAACACGGCGCGGAAACTAATTAGACAGAACACAGAAACAAATTATCTGTGAAATGAGATACTAGTAACACTTTCGCGGATATTCCCTATCATAACAAGCAAAGCGTCTCAAAACACTCTCAAGCGCCCACAGCTAGGCGTTTTCAGCAGAGCGCCTAGCGTTTTCAGCTGGCTAAAAACGCTTTGGTGGACACGCGGCCTTACGCCGGTTGCATGAGCAGCAAGTATTTTTTCCGGCGCCCATGTTAACAGATTAGAGCGTTCACACCGCACGCAGAGGCGGCGCGGCAGCGCATAGGAGAGGAGCCCAAGTTAGTGGAAACTTGGGCTCCTCTTGGGCAGAAGCAGCAGTGCCGCGATCGTTTCGGCGCCGAGTCTATTTTGACAATGCATTGATCATGGCAAAATACAAAAAGCGTTTTACCCAAAAAGCGCATTGATGATATCTATTATAAACCGTCAATCAAATGACCGTCAGCAATTTAAAAAGAAAACAAATGTCCAAAAACAGACTTTTTGCCCGAACTACAAAAACAAGTTTAAACAATTTATACTGTTTTATACAGTTTAGCTTAAATTAGCCTACAGATTAATTTAATTATAATATATATATATATATATATATATGCCATTATATATAAGAACATGTCATGCTGACATCATGCTGACAATCATAAACAAAAGCATGTGGTGTCACAGGCAGTGGCCTTTAGAGTGCACCTGACAAGACGATATTAATGGACGACACTCGTCTCATTGTGGGGGTTGAGAAGCATAAAGTAATTTATGATCCACATAATGTGCTTTATAAAGACTTGCAGGCAAAGGAAAAAGCATGGGATG